TTTTTTTTGCAGAACCAGGAATTGAACTTAGGCCCTTGTGCTTGCCAGGGAAGCGCTTATTCTACTGAGCCATCTCCCCGGCCCCAACCTTGTCTGACTGCTGCGGTCCCTGAGCCAGCGCTGCCCTCGCAATGGGAGAGGCTCCCGGAGCACACCTGTGCATCGGTCGTTGGCGTGGCCCCAGCAGCCACACACACTGCTGGCGGGACTGAAAATCCAGCCACCCTTGACGGCAGTTTGGTAGTATGGATGAAGATTCCAGAAATATAATTCTGTTCCTGGAGATTTACCCTGAGATCATAGCTCAGAATGGAGAAAATTGTTTACTAAAATAATTGTAGCATTAATCTGCAAAATAAGACATAATTTAAATATCCGATGTCAGGGAAATCATATTTAAATTAGGGCATATAACATTACACAGGCATTAAAAATTTAAGTGAAAACTTTAAATGGAATCCAGTGTTCAAAAGTTATTTATTTTATGGTTAAAAATTATGCAAATTATATTCATAGGAAGAGCACTATAAAGAAAGATACTAAAATATTAAAAGTTAGTCTTTGCTATTGTAAAAAATATATTTTTCCTTTAATTTTCTATCATGAGCATAAATTTTTAAAAAGTAAGGACACGTCAGTACATTTAGTATTTAACTTATGTGTATAATATGTCCATGGTGAATGTATCTGTGTGTGTGAAAAGTAGGACCATTTTTGGAACCACTGGTGACTGTGTAAGTGCTGGCTTAGCCTTCCACAGGGAGTCACTGGAGCTGGAGCCAGGGCTCACTAAGATCATCACGAAGTCCTGTTGGAAGTATTTCAAGTTACTGTAGATTCATTTTAATTGGTGCAACTTTTACGTAAGCAGTACTATTCAATTTTTTTCAGATAAATTAAGCAAACCTCTGCAAAGCCCATTTATACTGCTTCTTTGTTTGGAAAATATACCCTTAAGAAAAAGCTCCCGGCTCATTTTCAGATGAATCAGCCTGGCCCACAGTGGATAATTATGTTTTTTTATTTTTATTTTTTTATTTTTTATTTATTTATTTTTTTTAGTGGAACCAGGGATTGAATTCAGGCCCTTGCGCTTGCCAGGGAAACACTTATTCTACTGAGCCATCTCCCTGGCCCCCACAGTGGATAATTAAATGTCACTTACATTTTGTTTGTGTGCATGTATTTTGCTAGAGCTTGCTACCTGGGCACCTGCACTCTGAGTCTCAGCCCCCTCCTTCATGCTGTTGATCATCTTTGGCACTCTGTGCTGAAGAGTGACCTCATGCTGATCTGGAAGCTGGGGCTTGTTGCTCATGCAGTGAACGGATTTCAACCCAGAGCCCTGCAGTTGCGGGGGCCTGAATTCCCCAAAGTGCCCCTCTGCTCAGGGATTGCTGCGCGGGGTGGTGCTCTTGGGAAGTGGCAGAGTCTTCAGGAGCTGGAGTGCCCCAGGACGTCTTCAGGTAGCTGGCCCCAGGCGTGAATGGGACTGTGGAACCCAGGTGTCTCCTCACGTTCTTGTGCTTCCTGGCTGTGAGCTGAGTGGCTTTGCTGCCTAGTCATGCCTCCTTGCCACAAACCCCAAAGCAACAGGGCCTGTGGATTGTGGACTGGAGACTGAAAACTCGGAGGCTGAGTCACCTTTCTCTTTCTACGGTGATCACCTCTGCTGCCTTGCTCTGGGGATAGAAAGCTGACTAACATAGATCTAGAATGGGGCTGTACTGTGGGGGTTATCAGTGGTTTAAATGAATGGGAAGGGGGTGTTGAACATATGTGCCACAACATGGTTCGCCTAGAGTATTGAAGGGGTAAGGGTTCAGTGTTACTTACTAGGCCCATCCAACTTATCAAGTGCTGTCCAGCTGCTAGAGAAGCAAAGGGGACTAAGAGATGGTCTGAATAGATTTTTAGGCTGAAGAGACAGAGAAAAAAGAAAAAATAAAGGTAAAAACTGAGAATATATTTTGTATTTTGAACAAAAGCATGGGGGTAGAAACTAAAAATGCATGTGCAGGAAGCTTTTTCTCTATGGCAAAAATGGTAGGAAAGAAGGCTGCAGGAGAGGGCCATGCTGAGACCGCAGAGGACTCTTTGGCTGAACTTGCTGTTGTAGGTTCCAGAAGGTCACAGTGATGTGAGGTGCTAGAGTCACCAGGACCCCAGAGGTAATGGGAGGATGGATTTGGTCTCGCAGGTGGGACCCCATGGGGCAGGCAGCTCTGGCCAACGTCATGCTGCTTGTAGGGAAGTTTGCTTTTCAGAGTTATGCATGTTAAACTTTTGGGCAGGCTTCTTGCAACCGAAAGAATGCATGGATTTGTGGTATGGTCACATTTATAACATAGTTAAGAAGTTTCAAAAGAAGCCATATTTTTCTTAGAAGACATTGCAAAAGTGAGCAATCCTTTTTATGTTGGTACAAAGTTTGGATAGGGTAGGTTTTTGTGAGTGTGTCTGTTTGCTTAAATTCTTCCTTCCTTTTCTTTCCCTTCTTTCCTACCTTCCTTCAGAAATATTGTGTCTCTTCTCTTCCCTCCTTTTCTTCTCTCTTTCAGAAATACTCATTTTAACCAATAGGAGTCTACCAGAATTTTTACTGAGATGGAGAAGATAACTCACGACTTCGGCTTTTGTCTTCTGAAATTGAAATTCCTTCTGCACCATAACGCTTACATCAGGATTCCAGGTGTGCTCCTTGCTCAGGAGCCAAGCTGAGGGACGAGGACCTGAGCAGAGACGCTGTCCTCCGGGCGAGTCGCTTCTGTGTCTCTCTGCTGTATGAATCATTGATATTTCGTGGACGCCTCTGTGAGCTTCCTCTCCTGAAGCTGTGGACATGGGGCTTCACGTTTCTTCTGCTTTTTATTATCTATATTTTCTAGTCCTGTTCAGTCATGGCTCTTCAGAAACAATATTTCTCTGTGCTCACTCCAAATGGAATTTAAAACTGATTAGTAAAACAGCTTGTAGTTGCTTTTAACCTTTCTTTCTTGTTTACTGCTAAGCGGCAGAAGTAGAACATCATGAAAGGATTAGGTAAAGTTCTATAAAGCTTTATTATTTTCATTTTCTAGCATTTGATTTATTGGATTTGCTTCTTTCCTTTTGAAATAAAAGACAAGTTGGAAAAATTCAAAGTGCTATAATATACATTTGGTTTACAAATAATATCTGTGTGTTAGATATTGTGGCAGGCTCTGGGGACAAGATAACCAAGACAAAGGTCTCGTGGAAAGGCTTTGCAACCTGCTTCAGGAGAAGAGGAGCCTACATAAATAGCTGCGGTGAGACAGGTGGGACAGGGTGCCAGGAGGGGTACAGTGGTAGCGCACAGGAATGTGGCAGTGTGCGGTACTTGGGAACTGTTAGTATCGGTGATTTAATAGGCTTGTACAGAAGATAGGTCAGATTGAATATGCTTGGGAGCCCTGATTAGAACAAATTAAACAGGCAGTACAGCGCTGTGGCTAAGTGTGTCTGGGTTCAAGTTCTGTATTCTAGTGAAATTCATCAGAACCCTGGGAGTTCCTCCTCTGGGTACAAATCCACTCTGTGGCTAGCAGAGAAGATTGAAGGAGGTGAGCCGAGCATTTAGAGCAGCCTGGCAGACCCAAGACTCAGAAATGCGTGTTCCTCCTTCCCTTTTCTCCTTCCTTCCCTCCCTCCCTCCCTCCCTTCCTTCCTTCCTTCCTTCCTTCCTTCCTTCCTTCCTTCCTTCCTTCCTTCCTTCCTTCTTCCTTCCTTTCTTCCTCCCTCCCTTTTCTTCCTTTAGTTTTTTATTTTACTATCACAAAAGTTTATTTAACAAAAATTTAATATGAAAATATGTATGACCGAATCTTCCATCAGCGAAAGCAGTGCTTGGAGGAAGGGCATGAATTTTTCTGCTCAACAGTCATTACTTAAACTCGTCCCAAGGCTTCCACCACAAGGACACTGTCTCCTCTATCACCACCATCCCAGTACTGCTCTGTTGCCCACTAGTTGCCATCTTCCACACATTGATCTATCATAAGATTCATGAAGGGATCAAATCCTCACAATATTCCTTGGACATGTCTGCCACCATTCAATTTCCATGATAACTTTTTTTTTTTGTACTTTGTAGGGAAGGGTCTACAGGGTATTCAGGGTCTCGCTACTAGATCAGACTCATAGTGATCCACCTGTTTACAGCCTCCCAAGTGTTGGGATTATAGGCATGTGCCACCACACCCAGTCTCAGTGTGCCCCAAAGTCAGGGCCAGCATGGTGGGCCTGGGGATCAAACCCGCAGCACTGCACCTGCTTGAAGGTGCTTTAATCTGCTGGGCTATTTGGCCAGCCCTCATGATAACTTCTTGTCCATATTGTTTTCAGCTTGTGAGGGTGAGCTTTGCTCATCTTGTCTAGTCAGCAGGCTCAGGGATCCTTTGAAAGGTATCTACAGCCTCCATCGCACTCCTGCGGTCCTCCTTTAGTTTTTGAAACAGGGTCTCAGTACGTATCCCAGGCTAGCCCTGAATTTGAGATCCTCTTGGCTGAGGCTGTGGAGTGCTGGGATTATAAGCCTGACAGTGAGTGGTTTTTGAATGCAAGACTTCTTGGAAACTAAAGCCCAACTATGAGTTCTGAATGAGAGAGACAGAGAGGCCGAAAAAATGAGAAAGTCATGGAACTTCTCCAAAATCATTTTGACCACATATTTGTTTTTTACAGTATCTCAAAGGCCCAGAGTTTGAAAACCATGTTGGAAACCCTAGAGAGGTCAGAGAAAAGTAAAGCTACAATTACATTATTAGCCTTATAAATTGAGAGTGATTTGATCAAATAAAAAAAGATGTACGAAGCAAACACTGGAGAAGATCATTTGTTCTGGCAGGGGTGGGCGGATGACTTGCTGACGGATAAGGAAACAGTCAAAATATTGTCTGAAAACAATATGGACAAGAAGTTATCATGGGGCGCTGGGGAGATAGCTCAGTAGAATAAGTGCTTGCCTGGCAAGTGCAAGAGCCTGAGTTCAATCCTTGGTTCCTCAAAAAAAAAAAAAAAAAAAAAAAAAAAGAAGTTATCATGAGGGCTGGCCAAATAGTCCAACAGATTAAAGCACCTTCAAGCAGGTGCAGGGTTGCGGGTTTGATCCCCAGGCCTGCCATGCTGCCCCTGCCCTTGGGGCACACTGAGACTGGGCATGGTGGCACATACCTATAATCCCAGCACTTTGGAGGCTGTATGTTCTTTTTTTTCCCAACGTGCAAGGGACCTCGTTACCCTCATCATGAGGCCATCGTGTGTTTCCATTCAGAAGGCTCCTCACTCACACTGTCTCTTGGCTGTGGGGCTTGTGCACGGGCTGTAGGCACATCTTTTGAGTTCAGTTAAGGTAGGAGTTGAGTTGGGAAAACACTGAGTTTGAGGTTCAGAGGATGTGTTTGAGTGGTTCATGGTGTCTTTGATGGTTCAAGTTTCGGTCATGTCCAGTGTCATTCTTGGTGTCCAGGAATACTGCCATAGCTTGTGGTGACAGCTGTGGTCCTGTGGCAAGAGGACACTGCAGGGCACTGGCCAATGTTGTCACCAATTGAGAATATATAAGATTAGTCCCTGAACAAGAAATGCT